AGGAAGCATGGAGTTAAATAAGTTTGTGTCTCTCTCCATCCGAACAATTGGAATCAGCAGTTTGCATTATTTTAAAAATGAATGCCTGGAATCAGCAATTTTCTGTTTCTTTTTTTTTTTTTTTTTCTGTTTCTTTTTTTTTTTTTTAAGATCTTGAGGGTTTTTTTTTATTATTTAAAGTGGAAAACTACATTAAGTGCAAGGCACTCAACAAAGAAGCAGTCATAAAGCCTAAGTATTCTTAGAGTTATAAAATATGTCCGTTGTGGCAATTCTACTGCCAACAATGAAGTTTTAAGCATTAATATGCCTTCATTGCAGTTTTAATGCCTTAATATTGACTCTATAGCTCTTTTGGGTAATTTTGCTTTCTCTGGTACTTGAAAGGTGATGATGTCAGCGTTCTTCGCACTGATTCATATGCAGGTTGATGAAGCTGAGTTATTTATTGAGTTCCATTATATTTTCTATAAACATTAGTTCTCAATAAACAGAGACATTTAGCCGAGGGTTTATTTATTAAATAGGTACTGTACAGATGGTTTTGCCACACATGATGTGCTGCAGAGGATATTACTCAGGAATAATCAGCTGTGTTATAGCTTGGCTAAATTAATAAGATGATAATGATGAAATTGATGCTTTTGAGCTAGGCTTGGTAAATGGTTTTTGCATAAACAAACTGATAAATTTGAGAAGCAATTACTTGCTTGTCAAAGATAAAAACACAACAGGGCCCATTTATAGTTAGGTCCTATTTATTTTTAAAGATTGTACCAGATTTTATGTTTAATACGCTGCAATTAAAAAATAATACTTAAATGAAGAATAATAAAAAACTAACTTTCTGAGCTCTCCTTCAAATTTGAAGATGCAGCATTGCTTGGTTAGACATCAAGTAAACTTTTTTCAAGGCTTTCACTACATCCAGAAAAAATATAATTGTTTTATGAGAGATTCTGCCCAGAGTTGTGCGAGGCAGCTCTGGCAGTGCTTCCTGTGACAGTACTTGCTCTAAAATTAAGCTGACTTTGATGGGAAGAAGTGCAGTCTCCAGTTCCCTGTTTGAAGTGGGTTTCACTGCAGTGACGGCACGGAGGAACAGAGGTGGATGGTCCCCACGCGAGCCAACTTTGTGCAGCTCTGCAGTATGGTCACATACACACCTATACATGTGTGGATATAAGTATAATGGCACACAAGGAAGGCCATCTTTTGATGTGTCTCCACCCAAGCCTAAGTGTGTTGTGTACTTTTATATGCCAGCCTGAGTAATTTGTTGATGTTTACTTAGAATAGGTTTAATCAGAAAGGCCATGGCTGCACTGCAGAAACCCCCAGGAGCAGCTGACATCAGCCATATCCTCAGGAAGTGTGGCACCCCACAGGGCATGGTCAGGGCTTTCCACTCTGGGGTTTGGGGACATGGGTCATGGAGCACAGGAGCATGCATTTGGCTTCGTAATGTCCCTGCGAGGTGAGTGCTGTCACTCTTGGTTGACAGAGGACAGGAGAAAGTCAGCCAAAGAAGGATGCCCTCTAACCCAAGGCTCTGCGGCAGGGCTCAAACCCAAGTGCCACCGCCAATGATTTATTTCATGTTACTCTGTAATAATGCCCTGTAGGCATCAGCTCTGGTGGCTTTAATTCCTTCTGGCTCTGGAAATCAGGGTGATGGGCTCCAGGACCCATCCTTTTCACCACCACTGTCTTATGCATCCTTGCAGGGATGTCTGAAGTGGACTAGAGCTGCAAAGAGTCATTGTGTGGCCAAAAGTCAGCAGCCACTTCCTAACTTACTCTCTTGTGCTCTCCAGCCCATGCAAAGGCTTTTGTAGCCTTACAGCTTCAGCTTCTGCTGAAGAGCCATTCTCCATGAAGGGCTGATGCCAGAAGCCAGGCCTGGAAGCAGTACAGCCATGACAGGAGGCCCTGCCCTTAGGAGCACATCCTTCATGGGCCCCATTAGGGGCTGCTGTGATTCCACACATCTACTGCTTAACTGCAATTTTTGCAGCAAAGAATTTGCTGAATACAGAGAGGGGAAGCCGCTGCCACGTTGCAGGGCTGCACCTGCTGACCTGGGCAGTGTGGGCAGTGTGATGTTCAGAGCTGATGTCACTGTATTCATCTGGGTATTGTCACATTTCTTGTACTGGGAAGGAAAGAAAGAGAGAGAAGGGAAACAAATCAGTGCTTTCAAAATATAATTACTTTTTAACTGTTCCTGAGAACTCCGGGTAAAAAAATGTGATTCTGAAGAAGTATGATGTTCAAACAAAATAGTTAATTTTAAATAGAATAAGGCTTCTGCCAGTCAGGATTTTCTTCTCATGAACAATTTTACAGTACCCAATGATAATATTAATTAGCAAAACCTGGGGATTCTCCAAAAAAATTGTTGGAGGATTTTCTTGTTATAGGCAGAGGTAGAGCCGAACTTTGCTTTTGGTAGAGGAGTCGTCTCAGAGCTGCTGTTGTGAAAGAAAAGTAGTCAGAATGAACCCCAGTGTGGAGCGGTCACTGTGCAAACCGCCTGCTCTTGGAGTGCTTTGCTGCAGCCCAGCCAGCCCTAAAGCTGCCTTAAAATCCAGGGCACTGCAGTGCTTTGAGGCAGGATTGTTCATTATTAATGAGGCTGTGCAAAAAATCCTACGGACGCACCGATGACGCTCAATGAGCCAATCCCAAATAATGCCACCATAATGAATTCCAGAGGAATAAATAATGATTGAGCCATTAACATAATGGGCAGCCACAGCCCAGCACGGCCACTGCCACCTCTGCAGCCCCAGCAGTGCCCATCGTGCCGCTCTCCGTGTGAGCACAATGCTGGGGTGGGTGTCTGTGCCCCTCTTGCTCTGCTATGCAATCAGAGTTTTTCTTCCATGGCTTGCACAGGCAAATTAATTAGAAATTTATATGGCCAGAAGTTCAGTTTAGTACGCGTTTGAGACAGAGGCCATTGCTGCAAACGTATTTGCACTCTTCGTCATGGAAGAATTATCTGCCCATTTAGAAAATGTGAAATTTGCTTCTGTTTTAATAGATGCTCCTGAGTGTAAAAACATCAGAGTGCTGTGGATTGTAGCACACTGAAAAACCTCCTAGGGGAGCACCTGGTTTGTGCCCCCACACACTGGCACGAATCATTTGGGGGGTGGGGAATAATGCAGAATAATGCTATCCGTGTAATTTCTGTAATGTTGAAGATATAAATGAATATATACATGATGCTATCAGGTGGTAAGGCATTGTAACAGGTTATCCAGGGAGGTGATGGATGCCCCATTCTTGGAGACATTCAAGGTCAGGCTGGACAGGGCTCTGAGCACCCTGATCTAGCATAGCTGTCCCTGTTCATTGCAGGGGAACTAATGACATTTTGGGGTCCCTTCCAACTTGAACAGCCCTGTGATGCTATGATTCCTGCACAGGAAATAAACAGTCGGGTGGAAGGGCCAAGGGCCGGCAGCGGGCGGCTCTGCCAGCATCCCCATCCCTGTGGCAGCCCAGCAGACCGGCGTCAGGTGCTCCTGCCCTTCTCCTGTCTGCCGCTCACAAACCCAGCCAGGGAATGTCATTAGAAGCAGCCATGCCATCTGCCTCCTCCTCCCCTCCCCTTTAAATAAGGAAACACCTTGTCAAACACATCCCTCTGAATATCCCTCCTGCGCACTCCGTGGGATCATGCACCATCTGGGCCCTGCTCAGCACGACATGGTCCACCGCGGTGCCCCGATGCCCGTGTGGGACAGGCAGGAACGGGGCCTCGTGTCCCAGAGAGTAACTGCAACGTGTGGCAGGGCCTCAGAGAAGGGGGGCGAGGTGGCCAACGTCGTGGCATTGGGAATGGCAGAGCTAAGCAAAGGCAGTGAGTTAACAAGAGGAACAAGCGTGGCAGCTCTGTGATCTTGAACCCAGAGAATTATCCGAGCAGGACCTCAAACACAGGCATTTGTTAACATGCAAATGGACTGAGTCAGCAATTAGTCAATGCTCAGCATAATTGAATAGAATATAGTAATTAAGTTGCCTTTTAATTATTCCCATTTTGTCTAAGGTAAATATTTACCACTACCATGTTTTTTCCATTGTCTCCTGCACGGAAAGACAATATCTGCACAGAGGGCCTGCCGCAAAGTTTCCCAAAACCTTGAACTCTGCAGGTTGCCCCTGTGCCGTGCTGTGACCACTACCAGAACCTCCCCCCATGCTGGGAACAGGTCCTCCAAAACCATGACCGCCCCCTCCAGGGCCCAGCCACACAAGGTGGCATCAGGCTGTGGCCTGGGACTCACCCGACTCCGCAGACCGGTTCACCAGGCGCAGGCTCTGCACCAGTGTGAGTGTGCACAAGTGTGCACAAGCACACACACACATGCCTGCCTACGGTCCGTGCAGAGAAGTCTTTGTTCTGGGTGATTGCTGTGCAGACAACACACTCACCCGGCTGTGCCGAGACACTGCGCAAAGCAATGTGCTGATAAGTGAGATATCGTTGAGCGGAGCCTTAGGAGACAGGGGAACATTATTTTAAATTATCTCAAACATAAAAACAAAGAGGAGATTTGGCAACCTTGCAGCAAAAACCTCAAAACCAGTTATTCCTTTTAAATAAAAACAAAAATGAGAAACAGTAACTATTAGAAATCCCACCTGGTGCTTTCTCTGTGTTAATGATGCTTCTTAAATTGCATGTGGGTAAATGGTAATTTTGTCTCACACCATTAAAAACTAATGGAACCCTTGATGATAAGAAATGCCATAGCTAGCTTGTTGGAAAACGTTTAATTAATAAAGTAATAAAATTATTGTAAACTAGTGCAGTTTCACAGAGGATTCAATGGGATATAAAACAGATAAAACATCCTTGAGAGTTGGTACAAGAAATAAACGCTACTCTATAAAAAGCAGCAATATAAAGTTAAGCTGGCCTGTGTTGTACAGATATTAGATGAGATATTGAAATAATAAGGCTATTTGGATTATTCTTCCAGGGGAAGTGCTGGGAAAACCCCATGAGTGGAGGAGCAGGTATATTCTTCCAGGACCAGAAGGGAAGCGCACATTTCATCTGAGCTGGCACAGAGCTGGAGAAAGCTGCTTCACTGCTGCAACACTGTGAGCCTGTGTGAATATATCGTTCTTACTATTATTACCACTGTTATTAGGATTTGCCATTCAGCCCAGGTTGAGGGGTTGAGGCACACGCAACCTGAGTTCTCCTCACCGCGGGTGCAGCCGGGCACTACCAGCAAAGCCCTGCAGAAAGCTGTGGGACAGCGCGGCTGCAGGAAAGGGGACTGCAGCCCTTCGTTCTCCCATATGTCACAAGCATGTCATGAGATGATGACAAAATAATAACAAGTTGGTGGCTGTTTGAAACTTTTTTTAGCAGCTGTGTTTTTAGAATATTCTAATTAACCATCCGCTTGCCTTAATCACTTTAAGATTTCTGAAATAGCTGAGAGCTTGCTGCACCTTCTTTCGACAGCAATCTTCCCCATGTGGGGACCATGGCTTTGTTTTTTGGAAGGGAGGGCAGAAGCAGCAGGACCAGGCTGGAAACACGCAGTCAGGTTTGTCATTGGCAAGAATTGCCAACACCATCGTGCAGTGATTTTAACTTGCAGCCACTGTAGTACCAGCAAGAAAAGAGGTGACGTTGCCTTTCATCTGCACAAAGACTGACTCACTTCGCCTGGACTCAGTTTTGCAAAATTTAAATGCAGTAAGTGCGGTATTTGTCGGAAGAATAAAAGGGTGAACAGTGAGTAAAGGGAAAAATATTTGTCAGCCTGCCAGGGAGAAGGAAGATTAAAAGCTGCTTGTGAATAAGGCATGTGGATGGCACAGCCATCTCGCCACTCAGTGCCGTTGCCTGAATCAGGTAAAAGCGGAGGGCTTTATCTCCAGAATGCACTCCTGTCTGTCAGCGTTAGTTGTTTTCTTAAATGACATGTTTTCTTCTGGCAGATGGGAACAAGCCTTGAAGAATAATTTTTTTTTTTTTTTTTTTTTTGGAGGCAGACAAATTGACTGCCTGGAAATGTGTGTGTGTTCAGGAACCTGGTGGCTCTTGGTGCGGGTTAGTGGTGCCCAGCTCACCTCACCCTGTGGCCTCTGCAGGCTATGCCAGTGCCCAGGCCACCACGTGCCCTGAGTATCACCCATGTTACTTTGTGCCTGCAGTACAAAATTTCCTGCTGGATGTTTCTCCAGCCAGTGGATTTTACCAAAATTGGGCTTTGGGCTTGGCGAGCTGGCAGCAGAAGGCAGCAGCTGGAAAGGTTTTTGAACATGGCAGCAGTGTCTGAAGTTTGGCAGCAAGGGAATGAAACAGTCAACTGAGTCCAAATCCATCACCTGGAAGCCCCCAGCAGTGCATGTGGCACAGTGATGGTGGGCTCGAGCACAGGCATTGCTGCCTGCTCTGTTGGGCTGACGGTACTTGTGGCAGCTCCTCACTGGGGTGTCCTCTCCCTCATGGCAGTGCACGTTACCTTCTCTTGCCACAGAGCTGGAGCACACTGACAAATCTCTTCTTGGGTAATCTTGAGCATCCTTAGAGATCTTGGTCCTAACAAGGGGATTCCAGCATTACACACAAATGTGCACGTGTCTACACACAAACATACATGTGCCTACAGACACCTGCAGTTTTCCTTCTCCCTCTCCATAAATATATACACACATATGTACATCCACAAATACACAGGCATGTGTGTGTATATATGTGTGCAAAGAGGGGAGGGGAAAGACACTCAGAAAATGAAATACAAATGTTCAAAAAAATAATATTCCCAAGCCCTCAAATCTCTAATCATGAGTTTGATGCAATATTTGCCCTAATGGGAAATGATAACTGGCAATAGTCCAAAGCAAACCTCTTAGAAAGGAGCAATAAAAAAGGAAAATGCTAGCTTGGCAGTTAAAGAAAGAGGAGCCGAAGCGAGAACTGCTGTCGGAGATAATAAAGAATTAACCACAAACCCCTTTTCTATTAAGCACAAAAAAGGATATTAAAATAACATGCCCCCTCCCTAAATATCTGAGGGGTTGTGTCATACTTTGCTCTGCAGCCTCCCTGGCACTGGTGGAGCTGGGGGCTGCAGCCCGCCTCCCCCCCCCCCCCCCCCCCCCGCCTCCCTGCGCCCACTCCTCCCAGGGCTGCTGCTCCACACTCACACACTTGCGTCTTGCCTGCACGCTGAGGGCACAGTCCCGATCTTCACCACGTGAGAGGGAATGGGGGCATGGCTTGAGGGGGTGAGAGAGGGGCAGTGAGCTGCAGGGAGCCGCGCTGCTCCTCAAACCAGCGCCTGTAAAGTCCCCACTGCCCTTGCAATTCCCTAGCAGTGCCCTTGCAGCACTCTTGCTGCGCCAGCCAGCTCCTGCAGAGTCTGGGGACAACTGCAGGGACAAAACTGCATCTTACGCAGTATGTCTGTGGGAAACCATTGATAAACTTGGCCATGAAAGTAGGTTTTGTGAATTACATATAGCTTATGGATGTCATCTGTTTAACCAGCATCTTCCTGTGTGTGTCGACCACACCAACACAGCCATAAGAGCTGTTTCTTCTTGCTCTAAGCGGCTGCCCACTGTTTGGTCCTGCTACCTCCCATTGCACCCATTGCTTAATGAGACAACTGCATGATGAGCTGCTACCAGCACCTTCAAAGCACTTCCTCATGGAATTAATCAATCCCTAAGATGACAACAAGGTAAATTCTGCATTACCTGGTGAAATGCTGGCCTTTCCTTTTTGACCTGCTTTTCTTTTGTGGCTTCGAGAAAGACCTTCAAGACTGGGCTGTATCATTGCAGAGCTCCTTTTACCTTCCAGTTTCCTCATGACCCTGTACATCGCAGAGTACTCTGTGCAGTGCAGCATATGCTATCCATGCAGTCCACAAGGACATCTGTTGATGAGTCTTAATGCTCTCTTTTTCAGTTTTGGTGGCAAACATCAGTACATTTACCTTCAGGTTTTTTTTATGTTTGGGCATATTTCATTTTAAAAAGATGGCATGCAAATTAAGACAGGAAGTGACATTCTCTGGCACTTGTATGTGGCAGAGAGCTCCCTGACCTGGTCTGCAGCCATGGGGACATCCTGTAATGCTAACAAACCACAACACTACGTCCTGCTGGGTTTGAGCAAAGCCAGGAGAAGCTGCGGGAGTTGCGGCTGTCTCCCAGCACATGTGCCCAGCCAGCACTGTTTCTGTCTGGCCTCACAGTGGGCAGAGATGCGATAACAGATTTTGTCCATTTTGCGACTGCCAAACCCATTTCTGTAGTGTTTTCCAGCATAAACATCCTTTGAAATTTCCGCTTCAACCAAATAGCAGGTTTTACTATAGCAATTTTGCATTTGCAAGAATCATGGTACTCAATGCATTACAGACTCAACAGAGTAAAATTTCCCCTCTACATCAAGTCAGAGAAATCCTAAATGATTTTGTTCCTAAGACTTTACTTCGGTTCATTAACACACGGGGAGGCATTAATCACGTGGAGCAATGAAATGCAACAACTCCGTTGACACTTTCCTATTGTCGGGATCTGTAAAGTGCAGTTTGACAAGAGCGAGGTGCTGGCAGCTCAAATGAGTTTTTGTCAGATCTCACTTCTGTGCTAGGAGTGCCCCACGCCCAGCGTGACTCAAGCCAAAAAGACAGAGATACTGTAAGGAATCACTAAAATCTTTTGGTAAATGTAACGTTACTTACATCTGCCAGTAACAGCTTATTTATAAACACAATGTGTGTATCACTTTGATTTATCCACTCAGAGTGTAAAGACTTGGAAGGAAAAAGAAAGTTACCTGTACAAGACATTTTTTAAATCTAAACTTCTTACTCTTCAAGACTTTTAAAAATCTTTGTGAAGGAAATCGCCACCAACTCTACTAGTAAACTACTGAGAGGACCTACTTACATTCAGAGGAAAGTCAAAACTTCTTCCTGAGCTACATCAGTTTAGAAAAGCGGAGCTAAACTTTAATTGCTTTTATCCAAGATCCTAAATTTATAAACACTTAACCAGAATTCTACCAACTATTACATATTTGAAAAATGGAGCATTTGTATGCCTGTGCCAGTCTACGTTAATTTCTCATCTGAACTTACAAAATGAAATCAATAAAGGTGTGGGTGGGGATCTTTAAAAAATAACTACTGCATGCTGTGAGCCAAGAGCTTTAGTACAAGATGTATCTGCCCAAAGTACAGGCAGGCTGGCGTTCAGATCAGGCACCTAAAGCTGGGTTGTCATAAAGCAGAAAAATCCCACCGAGAGCTGTTCTTAGCACAGAGCAGCAGCACCTCACATCCACATCCAGTGAAACTCCACTCCAGTTAGATTCACTGCCAAATTGCAAATTCCTATTTGATTTATCAATCACAATTTTGTATTGTTAATTCATATGTTCATTAGACAAATCTGTCCCTCCAAGGTAATCACTTAAGGTACTGCTGGCATGTGAACATGCACAAATGGATAATTCTTAATGACCTTCCAAGTTGACATATTTTTGGCATGGGTTTTCTGTATCCTAATTTCAAGCTGCTTCTCTGGTGCTGTTGTAGGGCTTACTTCCCTCAGCAAGGAGGTCTTGTAATGGGAGGTCGCTGCTAAGAGTGTTCCCATCAAATAGCAGCAGAACAAGGGGAAATTAACACGGTCTCCTTGGACAAAAGTGGAAACGGTCTTCTCTTTCAGCAGCCTTGCAGAGAGGAGAAAGCATTTACATTGAACAGCTCGACTAGTTCTATGACTTCTTTTTCACTGTTGCTCCTGTAAATAATAGTGTGGTAGGTATGGGCTGCTCAAGCTGTGCTGGTTGGTATGCGTGCTGCCCCCCCATGAGGCCAGTCCAGCATCACCGATCCCATGTCATGGATTAATATGATTAGGGGGATGCACAGCTCCACATACAACATGGAACAGCCATGTCACAAGTGACAAATATCACGATACACGTCAAATAAAGGAGCTCAAGCCCTTTGGTGGTGTAGAAGGCCCTGTCACAGGCTGTGGGCAGCAAGTTCACTGCAGTAAGATGATGTCAACCACCGTTGCAGCTGCTCAGCCAGCAGTGTGGAGTGGTGAAAAAGAAGTCAGCAGCCAAACACAAGGCTTGCAAGGCTGCTGGCGATCTCATGAAACTCCTCAGAGCAGACCATGGGCTGACCAGAGCTGGGAGGAGGAAATGGATCAGAGCAGGTGCCTCCATCCACCCAGCCTTGGGTTTGGTAGGGCAAGAGGCTGGCTGAGAAGAGAGCGAGACAGGATGGGAAAGAACGGTGCCAGAAAAGCACCCATCCCGCACAAGTAGCAGCCCCTGGAGAAAAAGAGTTTGCATCCCTTCCTCAAAAGCACAGCTCCGACTGAAAAACCCGAATGTATGGACAAAATGTAAATGCATTATGACAAGCTGTATGAGAAATCAAAACATGGAACAAGGAGCGTATGTTTCTTTTAGAGAAATGTCCTTTATCTCGTAGGCAGAATGAAGTGTGTGGCATTCAAATGTTAAGATTTTTACACACTTTCATGAAATACTAAAGAGAAACCCAAAAAAAAGAGAAGAAAAAAAAAAGAAGAAAATAACCCAAGTCCATGTCACTTCTCAGCTAGTTTGGTTATTGCTGCTCCTGAGTACTGTAACATATGCACTTTCCCTTTTGAAAATGTATCAAAGTTGTTATTTTGGGGGTGGGATAAACTCTTACCCATGCATATCTTATGTTTCAAAGCCAAGAATGCTTGAGAACCGGCTCTGGATCTGCACATCAGATGCATAAGTGATTAGTGACAAGTGACACAGAAACAGAGAATGTGCTGTGTTACAATGAATAATAAACACGCACAATTTATGCAGGCAGAGCGAGCGGGGAGATGGCATCCTGTGCCTCTTCCATATAAATAATGTGAATCTTGTCAAGCCAGGGCCGGGCACTGCCGGCTGAAGAGTGAGGCTGGGACGGGCGCAGAGGGGTGCTGGGTAAGTGGGGAGCTGGGTCTTCCAGTGGTTTTGTTATGGAGCAGGCTGACAGCAATTAGTCTTCTGTAAATGAGAGTAGAGACAGGGAAATACATTACTGTGGTCAAAAATTTTCACTCTGAAAAGAACTACTGGATAATGAAAAAAGTTTCTCAAAAAATAGTGGTAACATTTTCTAGGTTTCTGGCGAGCACCACTGAAACGTTCACTGTAAAGGCACTGCCTAGCAAAGGGATTGGTGGTGCCTATCTGAAAAAGCCAACAGTGATCAATTTTTTGCACGTGCAAACTCTGTTTTTAGATGAAGTTTCACAAGCATGCATCTGGGCATGTCCCTTTGGCATGCCAGCACCTTGGTGAGGCTGCAGTGCATCACCTCTGTGCAGGACAAGGCACGGAGCCAGGCTGTGCTGTCTTTGGTGCCCTCCGCTTGCCTTCTGCCCCTGGCTGCCCTACTGGGAAGGAGTTTGTTCTCTGGGGAAAGCATAAAGCAACAATTTCATTTTTTTAATTAAAAAATTTCCCCGAAGCACCTGCTGCTTAGCTCTGCACATTTTTTTTCCTGGCTATCCTGGCCTGCCAACTCCAAGCAAGCTTTTCTCTCTCATTTTTTACACTCTCTACACTTCCAGAAACGTATGCACTTGGATAAAAGTAGAACTGAGAGGGGAAAATGCATATTCTGTTATAAAAAAAAAAAAAGTTGAAAAAAGTGTCTAAAAGATGGATGCGTAAAGAAATCATACCCGCACTTCAACTCCAGGTCTGAGTTATATAAACTGAACTGTGGTAATTACCACGCTCCTCCAGATTAATAAACAATTACCATAGTAACTACACCATCAGATGAAACCTATGCTCATGAATTTTTAAAACATAAATGGAAATACACGCCGGCCTAGAAAGTCTCCCGTTTATTTAGCTCCTGGAGGATAAGGGAGCGGATCCATTAAGGAGCCCACGAAGGCACCCTGGCAGCATGCATTATGCACTGTCAGGGACAGGTCCGCTGCACTAAGAGCCGCCCCGAGGACGCACTGTGCCCAGATTGAAGAGGGAGCCCACCAGCACGTCGCCCCGGCTGCCCAATGGGCTCTTCTTCTTTTTGGTAGCCGTGAGGTTTGGCGAAAGTCTTTAGGCTGATGGTGTGTGACCACACAAAGAAGGTGTCTCCATCCAATTCAATGCTGGGACAACGTGCCCATGGCCAAATCTCACAGAAAACAACCCCACGGCTTTCTATGCCGTCCGTAAGAGCTCCTATCTTTACTCCAGAACCAACGTTCGCCTCAAGGGCTTCAACCTCATCCTGAAGCTCTGCTATGGCTGAGCACAGCCTTGGTGTAACAGCTAACAGGAGACATATCAAAACTCCAAATAACAATATTATGTATCAACTTGTTGATAATTCTGACAGGAAAGCTGAAAAGCGCCGCTAAGTTAAAAAGTAATGATGTGCAGCATTTGCAGTAATATTCTAAAACATGAGGTGAGCCCTCTCCGCTTTAAGTTTGCGCCACTTACTTCTGATAATGGTGATGAGCTGGAATAATACCCCCATTCACAAGAAAGTATTTCTTAAAACACTTTCAGAGTTAGGAAAGCCATTAAATCCTTGTGGATTGAAGGTAAAAAAATAAATTGTATGTATTTTAGACTTTGAATGATCTTCCTATAGCAATTTTAGGGGGGAAAAAAACCTAGGAAGAATTCTGCAATTTTAATCTCCTCAGTAGCTTCCCATTACTAAACAAGCAGAACGCCACGGTACAAATGTGGATGTTACATGTCATCTTGATCTGCTGCTTTTTTCTTTCATTAAAGCTTTAATGCAGCAATTATGGCTACGTTGCCCTATAAAAAAAGGAAAAGGCAGTTTACTTTAAAAAGTGAAATTGCATAGCCTACTATTTAATTATACACAAATGTAAATGGCCTATTTTTCCATAACTGGTTATTACAGCACTGTTTTACTTTCTGAGTTTTCACAATCTCTAAAACCTACAACGCTTCCTGCTATATAATTGTTTTGCTACATTATTGTTTTCATCTTATTTTTTCTTTTAATGTGAGTGCAGCGGGATAAATCTTGGTTTTAAGCCAGCCAGTACTTCATCTACTTAAGCTTTTATAGATGAAGATTGCTGTAATTATCAGAATACCCGCTTATTTCTGAAGTATTATCTTGGCAACCTGCTGGCATTTACAACCAATTAACAAGCTTTGCCCATTAGTTGCATAAGGGGTATCACAGAGTAAAGCCATTGTGTGCTAATTTTCTATTTTAGATAATCAGTTTGGCCATCCAAAATGGAAAGGGGAAGAAAAGAAAGGTTTGACACGCAGTGGCAGACATGTAAAAATGACTACATGCCTTCCCGAGACAAAGGTATCCAGCGCCTGCATGATTGCTTCACTGTCGTCACTACTGGGTTTTAAGTATTTATTCCCTTTGTCTCTTTTGGAAGATAAAATATAAAGTACAGCTTCGGCAAAGTAATCACGTCCTCTTTTTTATTTTTTAAACAGACTGGCTTCTCCCCCTGTCCTCCCGGTCTTGTAATTTCACCAGATTGTGCGAGTGTTAAACACGATGTCCAAAAAAAAAAGGGAGAGGGAAAAGGAGTGGAGTGAGCCTGGCTGGCGGCAGGCTGGGGTCGGGGCAGAGCCCCATGGCTCACCCTGCCCTGTGCCCGGGTGCTTCCAGCCTGGCTGCTGGCAGCAGGCAGGATGCAGCCCGCCGTTTTTGTGCCCAGTGGCTTTGGGTTTGGGGGCTTTTTTTAAAGTGGTTTGATTGGTTGGTTGTTTTTTTTGTCTTTTTTTTTTTTTTTATTGTGTGTGTATTGAGTTTATTTGTTGCCTCCGCTATGGAGGTGTGCTGGGGAAGCAGAGAAGAGCTACAGAAATAGCCAGAAAGTTGTCCCGTATTTGATTGTTGCCTTCTTTGGACAGGCACTTCACCACTGCAGCTCTGGCATCCCCCAACGCTATTGGAACAGTGCTGGCAGCACCAGCTCTGACCCGGACACCTGGCCTTGCCTGGGGAATGGAGTCTCCTCCCTCTGCCCCATGCCAGAGGATGTGTCCCGTTGCAGCCAGACTCTGCCCAGAGCGTGGCACCGCGCTGCTCAGCCAGCAAGGTAAGTAATGAAGTGCAGCAATTGCTAGAGGCGGCGGGGCTCACCTGTTTAATTGTGCATCAACGAGATGTTAGCTGCAGCCTGTGCTCTGCAATGAGGGTAGAAAATAATCAGTGTAAAGATGAGCGCAGCCCTTCAAACGCGGTTTGATCACATTTACTCCACTGAACAGAACGGGTGGATGGCTCCTGTTGTAAAATGGTTTTATAAAACGTAGCGGACTGTACAATGACGTGTTTTATGTGCCTCCTGTGGCTTAGTTTCGTATTTTGCTTTAGCATAAGTTAAACAAAATAAAGACTATGATCACGCTAAGAGGGTGCAGCCAGTGAAGTGAAGACAGAAAGTCATAAAGAATGATCAGCTGTGCAATTAGTGAAGACTGAAAATATATGCTGAAGTCTATGAAGTTGTAAATGAATAAGAAAAATGTTGTGCTTGGCAACTGGATGTGTATATTTGCCTCAATTATTTCAAATTATTTGCTACAGCCATTAGAGAACTTTAGCTTTCAGAGAGGTATGACGATAAACTCCCTCTCAGAAAAGGGATCTGGCCAGAGAGCCAGCCTGACTCGCTATTTGGACTCCTCAGAAAGGGGAGGTCAGAAGACAGATGAGCTGCATGCGAGCAGCTCGTGTCCCACTGCACTGCTTCCAAGCCCCCTGGCTCCTGTCACACCTAGCTCACAGCTGTCCCATTGGGGCACCACTGGGATGTCCCCATCCGGCAGCAGCTGGGCTCCTGCTCACAGCACGCTGTTGACATTGCTCCTCTGCACGGTGGCAAAAAGATTATTATTGAAATACAAAATAAAAAGTGGATTTCTCCCAGTACTTCACTCCTGAAGGGCCCTTGAGAGATGAAGCTTACCTTGAGCTAAAGGAAAACATTTTTTGTGAAGGGCTCTTGTATGATAGAAGTGCTGCAAGGGTTTAGCTGTGAGTTAAACCCCACAGCTGCAGGGAGAGGACCCCACACGTGCTCCCTGCCTCCATCCAGGTCACATCCTTCTGCAGGGCTGGAGCAGGCATCACCAGACATAACCAGGACTGTCCCAAAAGAACTGGCTTGGGAAAGTCTGCATGCGTCTGTTCCGCTTTTTTGTTGATAAGAAGTTTTAAGTTCTCACCCCAAAGTGATTGTGAGATTACTTAAAGGTACATTTGATTTTCTTTTCCAAATAAAGATAGTTACAACCATAGGATAGGTATCAGAAGGTTGGAATGCTTCACCACATTTTCATGTCACTAACAAGAAAAAAAGGGAAACCCACTTATAGGGGATTTACTTTCAGTCTCATGCAGATCACCAAACTGAAGGAGCAGTCTTCACTCAGCCAAACCATTCCCACCCAGGAGCTGTGTATCACAACAGCCTCAGCAAGATCACGGCAGTGGCAACTGAAAAATGGAAGCAGAGAAGCTCTCACCATGGCAGAGATAGCACAAATTATATGTTCTGCCTCTGCAAGGGAGGAAACATGCTCCTCCAGGACTCTAATCCCCATCGCTAATACTATTAAATATTTATGTACCACCACAACTTTGCATGACACTTCACAGAGATAAAAGTGCTATCTCTGTGCTGAAGATCTTAGAGATGACGTCAGACAAATGAAGAAAGCAAGGTTTACAGAAAGGAGACATGATGAGGATTAAGAAACCAAACCAAAGCAGGTGACCCAGAAGCATTTTTAAATTGCAAGAGAGAGTGGGACGCAGGCAGAGGAAATTTTGGGGTTCATTTTGCTTTTCAAGCTTTTTAACTTCTAAAAGTAGTTCCAGCCTTATCAGTGATGAGAGATTACCCAGTTTCCAAGAAGAAATCAAGTTATATATGGAACTGAGAGACCCTGCAGAGAGAGGCAGCACTCACAGCATCGCCTGAGACAACAATGGATGGAATATGTCGGGCAGAGGTAGTGTGATCTAAGGCAAACAGCAATATACATACAGCTGCAGTCATGCACATGAACACATGCACATATATACATACGCTCCTAGCAATTCAGTTAGATTAATTTGCTTTGGATATTCCATTATTTTACTGTAGTCCTTGTATAGTACTTAAAGAATCAGGTTAAGCATTCTGCATTAGATGCACAAACAATGCTGCTTTACCTCCGCATGGGTGTTGTGAGACTTTAATTAATGTTTGTAAAGTGCTTTCAGATCCCCAGAAGAAAGGCGCTATAGAAGTGTGAAGTCTGATTATTTCATGGCATACAAAAGTAGAGGTGAAAAGAAATATTCTCCTCCTTACACATAAAACTACTGATCTCAACTCCTGCATTTAAAAAAGATGATGTTAAAAAAGAAAAGAATTCTGACCATGAACCTACTTCAGGCTTCCCCTTTGCCTTTTTCATCTGATTTCTGGTTGAGTGAAATAATAAACTATTGTATTGCTGTAAACTCTTTGTAAGTAGATTTGACTAAGACAACAGAGTTCAGTGCCAGCAGCTACTCTGATCATTCTTTTAAATGGAAATTTACCGTCTGCTGCATCACATGGAAAAAATATAGAACTATTTTTCACAGCTTGTTCACTGAACAGATTATTGGAGGGAAGAAAAAAATAAAAAGACTTCATTTTCTACAGATCCCAAATCTTGGTGTAGAAAGTCTTGGCAATTTCCTTTTGAGAGGAGACAGATTTCACTTTCGCATTGATTTAACAATGGTAAGAGTTTCCAAAATGAGGGCCCGATTCTGAAAATTTAAATGGTTGGCCACGCTTGGTTCAATAGCTTATCTATGAGAGCAAAATTACTCACATGCATCAGTCTATGCAGGATCTGGTCCTAATATAGAACCAGTTCTTGATGTCATAAAATCTTTTTTAACAGCATCTTGTGTTACATTTAATTTATTTCACATGGCCTCATAAAATAAGATAAAAGCTTGTAAGTCTAAAAGTCATATAAAGAAGATGGGAAAAAAAAAGTCCTACCATGTATTCATGTTTATTAAGTATTATCTTCATGCAACTTACAGACTTTTAACTCCAGAATTTCCAAATGTTTCCCCGAATCCTAATTGCAGTCAGCAAGGGCTGTTAAAGCATGAGACAGATTGCAGTGAATGAGCTTTTTGGGTGAGCAAGGCTTTCCCCAGGCTCTCAAAGACTGGTGCTCACACTGCCCATGCTGCACAGGACAGGACCATGCAGACGTGCCACCCACTACACAAGGGTAGGTGGCAGTTCAGCATCTGGCAGACCCTCGCCATCCACTAAGCTGCACATTACTCTGGCTTCTGCAATAACACATAAGATGCAATATATCAGAAGGGATGCTTTTTAATTTTTTGTTTTAACATGAGCTCCTCTATGCCAAAGGAAACCTAAATGAGTAAAGAATAAATACCTACACTGCAAGAGGAGCAACGCATATGTTGTGTGTCTAACCTCCAGGTGCAGCCCAGGAAGGCTGGGAATCACCAGCTTGCATCAATGCTTGCATCTCCTGGTGGCCTGCAGACAGAGAAAGGCTCCAAGCAGGAAGGTCATGAACAGAAAAGCATCTTTGAAGGCAAAGAAGGCTTCACCCCTCTTCAAATCAAGGTCAGAATGCTGCTCCTCCCAGGCTGGTGCTGGGAGCAACAGCACTGATGCTGGGAAAGAGAAAAGATAAATGGTAGGCGAAGGCCAGTGCATGCCAAAGCGTGCACCTCAGAGCAATGTGATTAACGGCAGGATGGTGCTTTACAAAGCCCTGTGGAAAACAACCAGTGGTTACATGAGGGAACCTGAGAGGGATCATCATGGAGAAATGTGCCAGGTCATCCTGACAGAGACACATCACACTTTGTTGACATGTAACACCAAAGCCCAGCCTAATTTTCATCTTCCCTACTTCTGCACCTCTCTCCCATTGGTTTAGCTGTGGTGTTACATTTCTCAGGAGAAAGAAAAAGCAATTAAGCTTTGCAGTTTAGGAAAACACCTATTTTTACCCACGAGGCAATGCCCATCCTCACTGCTGAGAGATTTTAAAATGGGCCATGGTGGCCAAACCCAGTTTGATTTTAGCGACTTTCATGAGTTGATACCAAAGTGTGAAATGTCAAAGGGAGTGACTTCTGGCTCCCAGTGTGGGTCCTTTAATGATAGCCATCACTGTAAGGAAACAGGGAGGTCTCACCTCACTGCAGCTGCTGCTAGTGCACTGCCATCAGCAGGCGCTCTGGCAGGCAGGTAGCAGAGCCTGCGTTTCCCTCTAGCAACACCAGGGCCAATGCAGCGAGCAGATTGCACCCCCAGCCTCAGCCTTGGAAAAGAAAAGTTACTTCTGGTGGAGTGAAAGGATTCCTGAGGACAGCTTTCAGTAAAGGCAAACTTGAGCCACAATCTGACACAACAGCCAATAAACAGCTTCGAGATAATCGCACGTACCTCTGTGGTAGGCAGTGGTCTAACCCAGGCAGAGATGCTTTTAGAACATGGCTTTTCTCACCAGCCCTTGATATTTTTCTTGTGATCAAGGCAACATCTACAGTGAAAAACCTACGCCACAGCTGTCAGGGCTTCTCTCCAGCAGATAATTAAATTCCAACTTGATTGCCATTGTGATAAGTGAGCTCAAGTTCGGTGGTACCATGCCTGCCAGCCGAACACAGATGAGAGCCATCAGCTGCACAGTCACTAATGGCCGTGCAGGAGGCAGAGGTGCTGCAGTACTTAATGGCACTCCCCAGGAGGTGGTCAGCCTCCCAGAGACTGACAATAGCAGGAGCACATCTTGAGCTGTGACTGTATTTCAATCTGCATGCTTACGTGGGAAGCCTGGCAAAAGTGGAGTGAGTCAACGAGTTTAGAGGACTTTCAAGATCTCTTCCACACCAGAGAAAGGCAGGGTTTAGTCTGGGTTGGTGCGTGGTAGGATTGCTAAATGCAAAAAGACAAAGTCATCCGAGTTCTCTGCTTTGGATTGCACTCTTCAGTTGCTCTTTTAGATAAAGTTTATTTTTTTCCTCTCCACTTGATTACAATATGCACATCCCATGTTTTTGCAGATACATCTATTCTCTATAGAAGAGAGCATTTAAACTGAGTTTATCCGTTAAAAATCAGACTGCACATTGGCTTAGATCTATTTAGCTTCTTAATAACTGCTTTTTCGTAGCTGGCCCACTTTTTATGTGTATTTCTGGGCTTGTTATTGAACTTTACAATTTTAAATTCAGCTGGAGGAAGACTGTGATTTATTCTCACAATAGAGAAATGCTGCTTTGCTACCAGCATCCCGGAGGAACTCCTCCAGTTCATAAAAGGTGACCAGGTCTCGTGTTGAAGAACCACATGAACCACATCTGTCCCTTTGCCTTGCCTGTTGCTTGGAGGTTTACAGGCAGCCATGCTCCGAGGCAGTCATGGAGATGGCCTCGGCTGAGGCAAGCACTCACCGCAACCCTCTGTGCCACAGGAAGGACAGCAGGAGAAGGGCTACATGGAGTCTCCTGGGAGTTTCCATTCTCACCTTAAGAGAAGCACCTTAAGACCAGCCAACACTCTGACTTGGGGAGGACAACTATCAGGTGCAGGAGGAGTCAGGGAGAAGTATTTTCTGCATGTTACATACAGTGTGACACAAGAGGTGTGGCCTTTGGTTCTGCCTGCACTGGAATGAGCCAGCAGGCATGCTTCAAGATACCTCCTGGCCATGCTGAGATGGAGCAAAGCTTTGAGGCAGCCAAGTGGCATCAAACCCAGCCACCCTAGTTGGTGGGATGCAGCAATGGCAGCACTGGGTGGCAGCTGGGTGGATAGGTCTGAGGCTTGGCGGCACCTAAAAGCTGGGTGTAAACTCTTAAGGCTGTGCCTGAATAGGTTGGCCCCTTTCTAGATCTCATCCTAGGCTCCTAAAGGCTGAGTTTATTCATCACCCTATGTGCTTTGCTTGCAGCATTGGCTTCTCCGCTTGTCAACACGCCGTTTTCTGAATTCTCAGTGCAAAGGAAGCCTTTCATGGTTTGGCATCCTCTTATATGTTTATGCTTCTCAAGATATATTCTCTAGCCAAGTCTTTAAGTTCTTACATTAGTCCCCAAGCCCAGACATCAATCTGTTGCTGATCAGGTCTTTTCACATCATGCTGCTTTTATCTGGAATGCTGTTTTTGATGCTTCCAGGGAAGCTCTGCCTGATGTTTTTAAGAATGTGGTTAATTTTTTTTTTCTTTCTGTTTAAAACGACACGTCAGTACCGCTATTTCTTTTAACCTTTTGCTTTTACTGTAAGACTTCAGCAAGAAATTTGCCATATAAATGCTATTATACTGGGGAGGTCCTGATTTGCATCTTTGTCCTTGGGTAATGTAGAAGCAGCACAGGGGTCCACAAGCAGACAGAGACTGATTTTTTTTCCCCCTTTTATAATCTACAATAAAAAGTTTCTTTAAAGGGGAAGAAAAGAGAGGCACATGCTTAATATTGCAGAAAAGCCTTCTTGTGCTTGATACATTGGATAAACGGTTCAAGAACACTTCATCCTCCTACAACTATTTCCCGCACTTCTGCCAAGGTTAGGGAAACCTTGGGTTAGCTGCCGTCTGAATGCTGCAGGCTGGTATCAGTCTGAACAAGTTCAGCTGACTGCTTAGAAGATTCTCTTTATTCTTCCTCCTGTTGTCTCTCCACTTTGGCAAATAGAAATCACCTTCATCTTTGGGGGAGGCCTCGGCCTGAAAGCGCCCAACAAAGAGCGGCTGGCAGCAGGTCAAGGTCCTTCCATTGAGTCGCCCAGTCCCCATCAGATTGTGTTGGTGATCAGCCAGCTGTCAGGGAAACAAGGCTCTCCAGATCAGCGTGGTCTGGGACCAGGTGGGTCGTAAAACATGACGGCATATTTTAATAAATGACTGAAAGATTAAAGTAAAATTAAAACCACATCGGAAAAAAAATCCAAGAAAAATCAAATTTCTCCCTCATAAGGAAGCTCCCACTTTTCCTCACCAGCAAAGAAGGAAACAAAGTGGTGGAAAGTGAAAGTATCAGGCAAGCATGACTAACTACAGGTGGTGGATGTAGTCCTGCCTTCTTTGCTCCCTTTGAACCGCCTTTGTGCCATGAACTAGCCCATTAATTTTCCTTTAGGTGAACATTTGGTCTCTTAATGTATTGGGCGATTAACCAGAGTCAATACCAAAGAAGCTTCAGTTTACATTTAAACTTTTAAAATTAAATAACCTTAAAAAGAAAGGTTCTGCCTCATGCAGAAATGGTTTGAGTTAGATCATTATGTTACAGACACGAAGGTGGAATCAGCTTTGGCAGTTATAACCATTTCTATCACCATGGAGCTGCCCCAGCATTTATGCAGACAACAATACCCCAAGCTTGCCCTGTACATTTTATAGCGAGAGCCACCTGGGTAAAGCTGACCTACTGGTTCATTGAAAATAAGACAGAATACATCCAATTCCTCCTCTAATGGTCATCTGCTTCATAATAAGGATCGCCCTAATCATCGCTTTCTCTAACTGGACCACGGCCTGGGCCTAATTGTAAGAGCTACACTCATTTAAAGACAGAACATGGGGAACACAGGGATGAGGAAAAGCGCAAAAGCCTCAGCAGATGATGAAGAGTGATTTCTTCTTCTGTGTTTTCCCTTGCTGAAACTGTTCAAGATGTATTACCATGGCTACCCACCTGGGAAGGCAACACTTTTCCAGTTACTTTATGGCAGCAGAAGGGACCCTGGGAAAGGCTTCCTTCAGGTGAGGAGATGCCAGTGACTTTCCACTATAAGCTCTCCTCCTCTCATGGTGCCCATACCCTCTGTGCTGGCCCTTCTGCAGGCCTGGAGCTGCCCCACGGAACCAGTCACATAAACTCTGCTCTGCTCCATGGGAGCTGCTCTGCACAGCACAGACCACAGCCAGACAAGGAGCAAAGGGCAGATGTGCCATGGTTAGTCAGCCCAGCTCCGAGCTGGTGTCCCACAGCAGTAACATGTGCAGGACCACATTTCTCCTAACACACAGATGAGTAGGTGCCTGGAGAGATGAGCTAGATGTCATGATTTTTGAGTCTATTTTGTGATATCTCATGTGGAACGTGGCTCTGCCCAAGTTGCCCTGCGATGGAAAGCAACAGGGACAGAAGGGGACTGGCTGCCAGCAGCTGCAGACACCCTGCTGCCCCATCACAGGACCACCCGCCCGCAGTCAGCAGCACCATTTCCTGACCTTACTGCGTGACACCTGTGCATTCCTAAATCCTTAAATCCCCACCTGCATTTCCCCAAACACAGCGCTTCAGGAAAAGAGCAAGCTGGAGCCAGGGCTGCATGGTGGCCTGGGCACCGGCTTCATCACACTCCTACTCATTAGCCAAGCTGACATTGTTAAAGTACATACTCATTTAAGGATTACTGTAACGTTGCTCATTTCTAGGTCAATTATTGACTTAAATCATGTTAAACTTTAACATAAATATGCTACAATATCACCTGTACATATATTACGATAATTATATGGTTGCAAAATTCTTTTAAAACAGCAATTTCCCCTTTGGAAACTAGGGAAACTAGCTACTGCTGGAAAATAAAGGCTCCCAGACTGCTTTGAAATGTAGACAAAGAAATATGAAGATTCCCATTACCTTCACATCAGCTTCTCTACAATCAGTTTGGATTATTAAACACATCTGCAAATTAATTCCCCCTCAGTTAAAACCATCGCTTCCTAAAAACGTTCTGTCTAACCCTGCCAGAGAGAAAAGGGGGGCATGGCGAGTGAGCCGAGAAGTGAAAGGCATTGAATCACAACTCCTAAAGATACAAACAATGTGAGATAATTAAAAATATATATAATAATAATTTTAAAAAGCACCGCTAACTTTTTCAGGTTTCAGCAAACTTTTCAATTAGGATTTCTTCCTGGCTATTTAAATATGCTTAAAGTAATGATTTTCTGTAATTTGTCTTTTTCCTTTGGAAACATACCGTGCTATTGTCAGCTTTAAAAAAGAAGCAATTTTCTGACTTTTGAGATTGAGCAGGTCATGGAAAAATTACTACTGTGGGAACCTATAATTAAATAGAAAATGCAGCTGCACTTATGAAAAACTAAAATTAAATTTATTCTATTAATACTTGATTCCAGGATGACATCTGACTCTTCAGACACAGGTCCTAGCTGAAATGGCACCTTACCTGCAGAACAGCAGCTTGCAAAGGCAGACGCGATATAAGATGTACCAACGTATTGCTAATTATTTGCTGTCCAATTAAGTTACATTCAGTATAGCAGGATAGTCATTTACACATGCAGCCCTGCTTCTTTTCCTGGTACTGGCACTTCATCTTTGGGTGGGTATTTTTTCCTAAAGAACTCAATTACAGTAAATGCATGCAAAATCAGTAATCCCATTGTGAATTTAAATTGAAAGAAAAAAAGTACAGAAAGGAACTTTTCAGCACAACTACATGGTACATGTGAATCAGATAAAGCTCTCCTCCCAGCTTTCAGCACTCGTGATACGGAGACAAGATTCTGTACAATATTATGATACAAAACCAAGCTTAAATTAAAGAAAAATTACCAGTTTCCAACTGAATGCTTACAGTGTACGAGATACAGACTTCAAATTATATTCTAAATATAAATCTCCAATAAAATATTTCCAAGAGCCAAAATACCTTTTAAAACACCAAAAATATGCAAGGTGAACAAAAGGCAGGAGAAATTCGGGTGCAGGCGTATTACTGAGGATCTATTAGACACAATCTGATATCTGATAATAAAAAATACTTGCACAGAAGTCTTAAAATATAAAATTAAAAATAATGCAAGAAGACCAGATCAGTTTGAAAGAACTGTATTAATTTTATTTAGTAACAGCAATTAAAAAAACAAACATTTTTCTTTAGTCATTGGCATTTAGGAATCTCACAATTTCCTAGGGTAATAGCAGGGAATATTCAACGACCTCTCCTTATTACATGATATTTTAGAAATTACTAAATATGAATTTTCTTTTCTGTACTATATAATAATCTGTAAAACTACATTTTCCTTTAAACCTCCACTAATTTGCTAGTTTTTGGGGTTGTTTATTTTGTATTATTATATTAGAAATATTATCCCTATTTATTTATAAACAGGGAGGAAATTTTCCATCTCCTGTTCAGCAGTCACTTTCACAAACCCAGTTTTCTGTGCTATCATAAAAAGCACAACTAAATCCATACAGTTTATTTGACATTTATATTGTACATGTATATGTTACACACTATAAGATACAGGCTGCAAACCTTTCTTCGTATGCAAATTCAGCTCCAGTATTTTTATTACACGTCCATATTAAATCTAATACAGATATTCGTAACGACTGTGAGAAGGAAAGCAGCACCTCGGAGAGGGTAAAGGAATGATCTGCGAAGGAGCAATCACACACAGCCTGGGAAAGATTTGTTCATCTTTCAGAAGCGACTTGTGAGCAATAGCATGGTGGCAGAGCAAGCCACAAAACCTGCACTGCGTGCACCGCCTGACTGAAGGCACTCGAAGGGACCCGAGGAGCCAGCAGTACAACCATTTGATTGCACGTGTACCACTTGCTTGCTCTCAGCTGCCTGTTTGGTCAATGGCTTTTGCTTTGTTGTTTTTTTTTCCTTCATGCCGTGGAGCTGGATCCCTATTTTCCAGCTACGTAAATTCCACAGAGAAAAGGAAAACTGATCCATGAAGTTCCATTTGCATAAAGCACAGAAACATCTGTCACGAGCTCCCTGTCAGAGGAGCGAGCATCAGGAGCGAGATACTGCTGGTCGTCTGCCCTTAATAAAATGCATTCTTTTTCTGTCAATAGGAGCTCGGAGTGAGAGTGTTTGAAGGCACAGAGAAGAGAGAATTTGACCAGAGAAGACATCATTATTTGAAACGAGCAATTAGTTACATGATGCTGTCTCACTGATTAACGCGCACAAACGAGCTCTGCCCCAGGATCAGAAATGCCCTGTTCCGTTCAATCTCAGTTGTTTGCAGGAGCTGTTCTCATAAAGGTGTATGATTGTTAAATCAGAGTCCTGCAGATGCCTGCAACACACAGCAGCTTTCTGTTGTTGTTGTTAAACTTTGTGCAGTAAATGATCCATGGTGGCAAGGCTGACAACAGAAAGCGATCGGTCTGCAGTGCTCGTTGGAGTGCTGATTTCAGCTTTGGGAATCCAAGAAAAATATCAAGGAAGACTTATCTGTATCTCAGATCAGGAACATTTTCAGTCTGTTTCTGTATGCATATGCAATGCATGTCTACAATCATAAATATCAGGTAGAACAGCCAATTTGTTCATACAGAATGTATAAATGGAACAGAAAGATGGGGAAGTAAAATAGCAACTATTTTAAAAACAGAATAACTGTGTTAGGTCAAGTTATTTCCAGAATCACTACAAATACTGTGGGTAACAGACAAGATTTCTATTTCTAAGTCTTGCTCCTTTCTATTACGGACTAATCCTTAAATTAACGAGCTTTGTCGATACGATTATGCAGTGGGCTCTAGGCTGGCCTCCCCTCTGGTCAAAGTCAGAAATCAACCTAAGCTACAGCATGCCGCGCTAACAGAGTGCTCCGCTCAGCTCGCGTGTTTTGTGGTATTTAACAGCCAAACGGAGAGGAAAATATTTCCTTTGCATTTACTGCCTACTCGTGTCAGAAGTGGTACGAAGGTGGTCGATAGCTCTGTTTTCTACCAACAGACAGCAGGCTTCACACACTAGGGCAGAAGAGATTAATACGGAATTAGCAACAGCTCGCCCATCGTTGTCACTGTAAAACAAAAAAGGCTCCAACCATTCCTTACGCAGAGCAGACAATGCACGCATGCTTTCTTTCCTTTCTTTATCTCTCTCGTACCTTCACCCACTGTTTGATACCTCGATTTGCCCGTGTCTGGGTGCTGGAAATACCACTTGAGAGCGCAGCTCAGCAGGGTCACGCATTCAGGCAGGGCTGCGGGATATTGTGAAACAACAGTTGTGAGAATAACACCAAAAAGCAGCAGCAGAAGCGATCTTTGCTCTCATACGCATATTTGTATAAAAAGTTTCTCTGGCAGTGGTTCATCGGCAGGCAGTAATCTGCTAGGTTACTTCTTTGTAATTTTTCTGTTTCATAAATAATACAGGAGTTTACTAACAGGAAGTTTGTGGGAAGCAACAGTAAACAGTCTAGCAATCCATCTGTTATTGTGGAATCGAGAAAGCTGAATCAGGTTCTTTGCAAGTGGACTATTTTAGTTCGTGCTAGAGAAGACGTGTGGGAAACGGGCATTCAAGTCGTTAAGGCGAACTCTTGCAGCCCTCCTTCCTCCCTTGCCGTGTGGAGGGGCCAGCTGCGTGCAATCACAGCAAGAAGCTCGGGTTCATTAGTGCCTGCAGGGCAGCTCAGACTCACCCCGAGCAAAGACGAGGCCGCCGTGAAACACAAAGCACGCAGGTGGCGGTCACAGGAATCGCGCTGCTTAGACACGCAGCTCAGGAAGAGCGACTTGTACGTACAAATACACAGAAACCTGCTAGCACCTCTCTCAGCATCGAAGTGTTTACCAGGACGAAATCGAGAGGCTGAAGGGACCTGGGCGGGGGAATGGGGAAGGCAATGAGGGGAAACAAGGCACCGCCGGCCGCTGTTCCGACAGGTGTTTGTGTGCAAACGGAGGGCGCTGCCGGGACGGGACGGGACTGCTGCTCTGCAGCTCGGCTGCCACGTGCGAGCCGGAGCCCGAGCTCAGCACCGCTGCTTCGAGCGGGTTCGCAAACTGTGTTCATTCGCAACACAGCCGAGCGTAGCGCTTGGTTTAGAAGAAACAACGAATACGCGTAACCCCGAGCCCTGCCGGAGGTGAACGAGAGGCGGAGAAGTGAAGCCGCAGGACAGCTCACGCCTGCATACCGGCAGCCCGGGCCCGCCGGCACGCGGCCGCGAGACGCCCGCTCAGCGCCGCCGTCCGCAGGCGGTCCCAAGCGCGGCTGCGGAGGGAGGCGGTGAGAGCAGGCAGGGCCGCCACCTCCCGGCGCCCTTCGTGCACGGCGACCGGACCGCGGCGGGGCGCCTCGGGACGCCGGCGGCCGCGAGGCGTGAGGCGCGAGGCGCGCCCGAGCGCTGCGAGCGGGCGGACCGTCGGGCCCACCCAGCTCCCCCCTTCGCGGCTTCTCGCCGCGCGGCCGCCGCCGCTCTCCCGAAGGGGTTTGCTGCCCCCTGCCGGCCTCCTGCGGGCGGCCGTTACCGCTCCTCAGAGCTCTGCGTCCCTGAGCTGCCCCCGTGAGAGGCGGCCCGTGCCGAGCTGCGCGATTTGCCACGGGAAAACGTGAGCTGCCCGGGGGCTGCGGCTGCCCCCTGAGCCACACACAGCACAGGAGCTCCGCACGGCAGAAGGCGGACAGTAATTGTGTTTGTGCCGTTCCGGCGCCACCTCGGCTAACTTTCTTTTACGAGACACCACTGCACCGCTGCCTTTGAAGCAGCTACAGGTGAATCCGTTGTTCCCTGAAGCAGTAAAAGACATCACCTGATAACTGTGCAGCATAATTAAAAGTTCAGCATTGTCTGTGCCGGTTACACCTAGATAATGGCAAAGTTGTAAAACAGTGACTAAGATTTTCTCTTAAACTGTGGAAAAGCCTGGAAATCGTTTCTCTGAACACAGACCTGTAATGTCCGTGACAGCAGGACCTGCGTTTCTCATGTAATCCCACTGCAAGTGAATCCGAGCGCTTCAGTGCTGCTGCGTCGTGCTGTATGGGACGCAGTGGGACTGGGTAGCTTGCACAGACGGTACAAGTGGAAATGTGGGCATGCGTTCTGATAACGCTGGGGTATTGCCACCTGTGATTGCCTCCGGCCGGGCTTTTACCACAGGTTTTACCCTGTGACCTCCTGGTGAGGAAGCACAGGTGTATGGCTTTATCACTCTACAGAAGAGAAAAGACCTTATTTCTTGGCTTGCAGATCTCTGCTTCCACACGATTCAAGAGCTGCTCCTCCAGACTAGGTCTGCTGTAAGAAGCATCTCACGGTAAGAACCAGTGTGGTTTTATTACAGTATTTTATCTGAACTGCGTTTTGCTCATTTGGTTATAGAGTTTGGAGGTGTTGCATTTGTTTCTGCATCATAGTGTGGTTGATGTTGATGCATAGCAGTATACTAGCACAGCCCATGTGCTGAGGGCAGCAAGGAGCTGTGGCAGGTTGGCTGTTCATTCGTTTAGGCATGCGTGGCCTTTCTGCAGGTTTTGCTCATTTGAATGTGGCATAATTCAGTGTGCTATTTCCTCTATTCCTGTAATCTCAATAAGACAAAGCAGGCTTAGATGTCCTATCCAGTGTTCTCATTGCAAAAAAAACTTCCATAATGAGGGGTGTTGATGGTGTGTTTCCTGAGTATTCACTGATATGCATGCTTCTGCTACCCCTTTCTGCTCAGGGTACAAGGACCCTACAACCACTTATCAGGCAAGCGTTTGATATTAGGGGCATTTGTGCACCTAGGGAATCATAAATGATTGTTAATGGTGTGTTGGGAACGTGGTCTTGACAACTGACTAGTCTGGGCTCAGAGCCCTGCTCTGTGGAAACAGTGTGACAAATGAACTTTTTGTTTGTGCACCGAAGTCTGAGTCATTTCAGTGTTCTGTGAGTTTGTTGTAATGTTAGCAGGTCACATGTAGGGCTCCACTGAGCTCTGCTGCTACAATCTGTTCAAGTCTTTGAAACTCAGAACAAATGCCCCAACAAAACTTTCTGAGCTGTGATTCCCCGTTGTACGTGATGTATAGTTGTTGCTCTGCATGACTTGCACAACCTGAGCTGTGATTGCAGTCTGGATGTAGAGTTTTCTCTTGCTCTGTCGCTCTAGACCAGCACTGCCTGACTTCTTGGTTCAGTGCAAACACTTTGGCTCTGCTGATCATTACATGGAGAGGTTTTGAGCCCTCAGTTCATACTGAGTGCACAGAGGTGTAACCACACAAAGGCTATTGCTGTAGTAGTTGGTAGAGAACTCAGAGTCTGGCCACTTCTTGGAAGCTAGCCTTAATAACCCTTGCAGTCCTTCCCTAAGCCTCACCTCCAGGTAGCATCCTTGCTGGATGAATCAATCTGTATTATATTATGTCACTTCTGCGCCTGTTTCTGTTGTGTTTGGTGGTGTACTGAAGCTGAAAACCACTAGCACCATCATGTTAGACAATCAATTGAAAGTCATATAGACAGAGACTTCAGAAATTGATCTCTGGCAGGAACCTTTGCCCAGGTTTATTGAGTCATGATGCTAATTTATTTCCTCTGTGCCAGGGGAAATCCTGTCTCTATAGTTACCTTTTCTCATCACTCCAGTTTTGCATCCAGCTCAGCTACCTGATTCTTACTGTTTTCTGTTCATGGCAACCAAAAACACTTTATCCATGGAAAAATATAGGCTTTGAAGCCAGTGAGGCTAATTTAAAACACACATAAAATTCAGTGCAGGTAGACAACTCAGTGAGCTGGAAAACACAAGTGCTGCTCATTGCTAGGAGTCATGACACCACGCAGCAGGTAGCACAGCAAAGCCTCGCCATAAATACCAGGAAAAACAGATGTCGAGAGGGTGTGAGCTGAAGTCTGGGGATTGAACGGTTCTCCTTTGTCTTAACTGAATTCTAACCAACACTGAGTAACACTGGCCTTAGAAAATCACAACTCGTGGGGAAACAGCAGAAACTACCGCGGTGCGCCCTGCAGGATGGCTGCCTCTCCGCTCCCCGCGAAACGTGAGCCGCCCCCATTAAGACCCGGGCTCCCGCAAAGCGGCTCGGCCGCGGCTCCGTGGCTGCGCGCCGCCGCCAGAGGGCGGGCGAGGCAGCGGCCGTGGGCTGCCCGCCGCGCTCTCGGAACACGGGGCTCACCGCGAAAGCGCCCGCGGAAATCCCTTGCTAAGGATGCCCAGGC